CCGAAATTTGCGCCTCTCGACATAACAACTTTGCATGTGCGTATGTTATCAAATTATTCGAAAAATTCGCTTCAGCAAAAACAAGACTCACTCTTTTGACAAAAGTTGAGCTATCAGTTGATGTGGAAGCGGAGTTACTTCTCATCATTGTTTCTGAGATGCCGTGAATCTTCAAAGTAAAAGAGTAAAATTCACGAATGAATGAGGCAATAAGCTCAGTTATATAGCAAGATTGTCGTTGGTCTGACCTTTTCCGGATCATAGCTTTTCCTCGACAAAGCGGGCACCAGTGTTCTATCCTCTTTTTCAACGACTATAGTTGACACTTCCGGAAGCGCATCAATCAAACCTTGTTCAGTTTTCCTCTTTTTCAATCTGGTAACATTACTGAAAGAGCGAAGAGGAAATGGTGCATTATCAAGAACTACAAAAGATAACAACCTTTCGCTGCTCAACATTGGCATTTCAACGAAATTGTCCTGTTCTCCTGGTATGGGAGTATCTGCGGGAATAAGATGTGGTATTCTCCTTCTGAATTGTCGCCGTTTAGGGTGCTTTTGCGAATCTCGAATTCTCACCGCATTTTGCTCCTTGGCTGATTCTCTGTGAACATTTTTGAAAGAGATTCCATACGCTAAACATGCTCGAATTCCAAATTAAACGAGAACACGTCCACAGATTAGAAATCACCGAGTAAGTATCATCTCCATCAGCACACTCTTCATGATAGTCACACGTCTTGCCGCTACTCATGCAGCAAGCTTTAGCCATGCCGTTTGCGCACAAATAACTTCGGAACAAAGTACAAGGTGTACCAAATGGTCCACCACCACAAGAACATAACAGGGATGTTGCCGCTTGAGCTCGTTCTGGAAAATGTTTCTCTGAGAATCACGACACGTCTGTGACATGATGATGGCTATCAGCAGTACAAAGCGTTTAAATGTGATACCTTCATCAGGTAAGACAAGTAATCCATGCGTGATTGGCAGCAGATCGTAAGGATTGACCCACGCGCTCACCGAATCTATAAGAAGTGACTAGATCAAAGAATCACTGACTCATCATAAGTAATTTTATGGCAAGGGGTAAGCACTTACTTTCATTCGGCCACGGATCCTTACTTTTCGAAAAATGTACGCGATATGGGAAATGGGGGCTACTTTCCCAATCAACACCTCCTATGTATCCGTAGAGATATGGCAGAGTGTTTCCACGGCTTGGCACAGTGTCAAAATTGCGCAACTAAAAAATGAACAATTTCGAAGAATTTGAGAATATTGGAGAACAATAACGCACATAGACTTTATCTCCAACTTGATAGCGAGGTGCATCAGTAACAAACTGCTCATCGCTAATACTTTCAGCACTTTCATCAGCTTGTTCAACATATTCGACATCAATATGCTCATCATCGCCCAAGGACAACTCTTCACCCATTAGCCAAGGCGCAATTTTGTGATCATGGAGATTGTACGGTTTTCGATTGAACATGCGCTAGAAGATCTCATTAAATGGGCTATGACAGATCATAAGCTGTTCTACCTCAAAAGCCGACTTTTTTCCAGACTGGTTCAATACCATAGTGGTAAACTGCACCATTTCCACCCATCGATGTTTACTTTGCAATTCGAACATGGCTTGCTCGTACAACGCTCGCAATAAAGCGTC